TTCTTAAATCTGGACTTAGCAGATTCGTTCCACATTTCAGGTTCCATGAAATCTGTTGATCCATGAGATCAAAAGAAACTGAAAGGAATGGAACCTAAAGTGCAGAGCCTCAGCTTGGGCATTATTTGGACCATTCAGATTCACATCCTGAATCAAGTGTTGTTTCTCTAATGTTTTACACTGCGTTATCAAAAACGTATCACATACATACACCTTGCCCAACCAGGTCTTCTCCAGGTGTGATACACAAAAACACTCATTTTTTTCCCAGTCAACATCAGTGGTGAGCTACAGGGTTTAAGGCATGTGGAAGCACCTAGTTGGAGGTGGCAATAGCAGGTAAGACTGCTGATAGATAACCTACTCATTCCAGTGAGTAGGCTAATATTTGAAGTCAGCCTTAATGAGAATGAAACCCATTAGAAATTTTTGATGATTCCTTATGCTTCATTAATCTCACCCTTAGCCCAGGTAACCTAATGTCTTTAATGATGGGAGGAGAAGAGAAAAGAAAAGGGAGTGCTGTAAAAAGACACAAGACTTCTCCCTTACTCTCTGAAACCATACCAACTACTCCCTGAGGATAATTCTACCTGTACCAATAATGTTATAATGCTATTAAAAGAGCACTTTCATGGGATGGANCAGAAAAGCTCAACTGCAAAGTGGTTCCAATGGCGTTTTTTCCAAAGTCAATTGGACTTTCTTGCTTTTCCTTGAAGACATTTCACTTCTGATCCAAGAAGCTTCTTCAATTTCATTCTTCTTGGATGAGAAGTGAAAGATTGTCAAGGAAAAACATAGAAAGCCCAGTTGCCTCTGGAAAAAGCACCATTGGTACAAGATGTTTTACAGCTGGCATTTTCCACTGGCAAGGTTGGCAACAATGTTTAAAGATAAATCAACAAAATGTTGGAAATGCCACCAGACACTGGGGTCATATTATCATTATCATGCGTAAAAGCAAAAAAAAAAAATGGATATGTACATAGTTGGAGGAGATGATACAACAGTATATTGAACTGAAACCTGAATTATTTTTGTTGGCGATTTTACCAGAAATTTACAGTAAAGAAAATGTACTTGATAATTCACATAATAACTGCAGCCAGGATTGTATTTGCATGAAGTTGGGAAAATGAAGATTTCCCTATGGATGAGAATGTGTTTAGAAAATATTAGAATGTGCAGAAATGAATAAGTTAACACTTGAAATTAAAGAGAAGGAACAATCTGCTTATTATAACATATGGCAATTATTTTATCAATGGTTAGAGAATAAATATGAAAAGTGTAAAAAAAGAGGAGTGAAATAGAGAAATGATTTAACAAAGTTAAATAAGTTAAGAGGTTTGTTATAGTATTAGGTATGGTATATATTAGTATTAAGTTAAGAATAGATAAAATAATAAATATGGCTGTAAATTGTAATTGTTCTTGTATAAAATATTTGCACAAAGTATATCTACTCAGACAACACACTGTTTAAGGGAAGATGATGTTTGAATTAAAATTAAAATTAAAAGAAAAAGAAAAAGCACTGTTGGGATAACCATGATCTGGATGACTGGGAATCTCTATAGACCGAGCTGCAAGATTGTAATTCTTTTTTTATCTCAAAGTTGAATTGCTGCACATATGAGTCACCTTTGCCAGGAGGAAAAGGTATCAGTATATCAGTAAATCAATGTTGGGAAGAAGGAAGTTTTCCTAAAAAATGCAACGCATGGTGCTTCCCTCCTACAAAACAAGTCCTTGATTTGTTTTTGGGGTTGATGGAGAAGATAGTGGAGCTTCAGTCTATAAACACCTTCGTTTTTGGGAGGACCCAACATTTGGTTTCCTCCTGAACAAATCGGTCTCACCACTGAAATTGTTCTTCCCCAGCCTCCAGATATTGTATGGCAGCTCCCATCATTCTTAACTTGCTTACTCAACTGTACTTCATCATTTCCATGCAAAAAGACCAACATTTGTTGAAGTTGAAGAACGGTTGCAGGAACTGGGCATGGCTAGTCTAGTGAAAAGAAGGACCAGGGGAGACAGGAGAGGAGCCTTCCAATATTTGAGGGGCTTCCACAGAGAGGAAGGGGTCAAGCTATTTCCCAAATCATCTGAAGGCCAGACAAGGAATAATGGATGGAAGCTGATCAAGGAGAGATTCAACCTAGGAATAAGGAGGAACTTTCTGACAGTGAGAACAATCAACCAACGGACAGAAGTTGCCTTCGGAAGTTGTGGGAGCTTCATCACTGGAGGCTTTCAAGAAGAGATTGGACTGCCATCTGTCAGAAATAGTGTAGGGTCTCCTGCTTGAGTGTGGGGTTTGACTAGATGGCCTAAAATGTCCCTTCCAACTCTGTTAATCTGTTTAAAGTTTCCTCTACAGGTAGTCCTTCACCTACAACAGTTCATTTTTGACCGTTCAAAGTTCCAATGGTACTGAAAAAAGTGACTTATGACCATTTTTCACACTTACAACCATTGCAGCATCCCTAAGGTGACATGATCAAAAATCCAGATGCTTGGCAACTGGTTCATATTTATAACGGTTGTAGTGTCGGGGGTCATGTGATCACCTTTTGTGACCTTCTGACAAGCAAAGTCCGTGGGGAAGCCAGATTCACTTAACAACCATGTGACTAACTTTAACAAGTGCGGTGATTNCTCGATTTACATCACCAATTTATATACACCAATTTTATATGCACCAAAAATTTATATACCCCAATGACTGCATCTCAAAAGATCCCTCTGTTAAAATACTGAAATTTGCAGATGATACAACAGTGATTGGTCTCATTCAAGACAATGATGAATCTGCATATAGATAGGAGGTTGAACAACTAGCCTTATAGTGCAACCAGAACAATCTTGAACTAAATACACTCAAAACGGTAGAAATGGTGGTAGATTTTAGGAGGAACCCTCCTATACTACCATTTCTTACAATACTAGACAACACAGTATCAACAGTAGAGACTTTCAAGTTTCTAGGTTCTATCATATCTCAAGACCTAGAATGGACATCTAACATCAAAAAATGTCATCAAAAAATTAGCATATTACCTACTAAAACGGTATTACTATTATTCTTCTCTTCCTTCCTAGTATATATCTCTTCCCACTTACAATTATAACCATGTTCCATGTATCTTTAAATTTTAAATTGTTTTATTTGTTTTCTAATATAATTTGATTGCTTATTAATAACCTATGGCTATCACTAAGTGTTGCATCTTATGATTCTTGATGAATGTATTCTATTTTATTTTTCTTTATGTACACTGAGAGCATCTGCACCAAAAACAAATTCCTTGTTTGTCCGAAAACACTTGGCCAATAAAGAATTCTATTCTATTCTATTCTATTCTATTCTATTTGCCATCATTCATTTAGTGACCATTGAAAATGACAATAGCACTGAAAAAAGTAATTTATGACTGGTCCTTGCTATTGGCCTATCCCAGTGGGGTGAGATTTCTTTATAAGAATAAAAGAATTTTTTTATGACTGATTGGTCATAAATTTCTTTTCAGACAATAATTTAATTCCCAAGTTTGCCGATATTTGTTTAATTGTTGATTTAGGTTCATGCGTTCAGTTTTCATATGTTTGAAATCTATAGAATTAAGTGCTAGAATTTTATATTTGTCTTTTTCCAGGGTATTTCTTCTTTACAGACTAACTTGTCTCTTACAACCACTTCAAGTAACATGGGTCAAATGGAAGCCAAGATAGAAATTTTATGAACAAGTTCATGCAGAGTTTGTCTGAAAGAGCTGGGTAGCCTCGCTAGATCTGTTTTGACTTCCAAAAGAACATACTGACATAAGTGCAGATTGGACCCAACCTTGGGATATAAACCAGCTAGATTTGCAGGAGGAAGAGTAATGAGAGAAGATAACATTGGCCCAAATCTTAAACATTTTATTTTTCTTGCGTGGCAGCCAACCAAGGCAGATGATACGCTTGGAAGAACACAGCTTTATCTGTGACCTTTCAACACAGAAAAACGGGCGCCGAAGCTAGCAAGATCTTAAAGACTTGGCCTTGTGCAGCTGGGCTCATGACCGTCTTCATCCATCTTCTGAATGAGTTTACCCTAATTCAAGAGGAGGTTCAAACCACAATATCACGCTCCAACTTTTCAACTCCAAATTCAGGGATTTTTCTTCCTTGCTTTAGCACAGTTCTCTGTAATGCCCCAGTTTGCTTTTGATAGATGGGTGTAAGAGGAGGGTAGATGGGCACATTTCTAAATATAATACCACAGCCATCCTCTGCTTATTTCTTAAGACTAATTTTATTTATATCGCTTAGTTTGTAAGAATGTCCAGATATAGTTTTGGAAATAAAATGATAGTAAAGGCTGCTTCTTTCTTTACAATCCTTCCTTCCTTCTTTCCATTCATTTTTTTTCATTCATTCATTCATTTCATTTCATTCATTTCATTTCCTTCCTTCCTTCTTTCTTTCCAACAAAGCCAAGTGAGACAGATTTATGAGAATTATGCTGAACCTGTTCATTTCTGCCCCCTTTTTATGTCATGGCATGGACTTGGAGAGAAAAGGATTACATTGACTATATTGTAAGATCCTCTATGAATACTTTATTGTCTGAAGAGTGGTAAAAAGTTGGGTGGATAGATGGATGAATAGATGGATGGATAGATGTTTGCTGGCAGAATAGCCAGAATAGAAAGTTTGGGAATAATAATTCCAGCTTTTATGCAATTGATGGAGATGTTACAGGCTTCAGAGTTGCCTATTCAGCTCATTTTCCCAATACTGACTCCCAAGAATAAATTAACAATCAACTATCTTGGCATATGATTGGATATTTTTCTTGCCAGCCAGCATGCAGCGAATCAGATCAGAGACTGTTCCATGCAATTCTTGCAAGCCATTGCATTTTTAATCCCACCCATTTGGGAGGTCCTAGTTTATCCATTGGTTAGCTGAGAATGGCTGGCTTTATAAGACCCTTGCTTTCCGTGCCTCCCAGTAGTAGAGAGTCTGGCCTGGGACAAGAATGGAAAAACTGCTTCTGCTAACATGGGCAACCTGTTTCCTTGGTAAGTTGATCTTAACTGCTTATTATTATGGTGGGTCACACGGTCAGCAAGATATTTAAACTGGATGGGGCATTTTTATCCACCTATCGAGTTCTTCCCAATGACCTAGGATAGGAAGAAGTTGTTTTATGGTGTTAAAGATAACATCATAAGATATTATTGTATTATTATGTGTATTATTATGTGATCTTTCAGTTTCTGGGGAGGTATAGTAGCTCTCTTAATTTTCTTCAATCAAACATCAACAAATAAAAAGTAATATTTTGTTTATGGCCACTTCAGATTTTGTAGATCCCAGTCCATTTTTAAAGTTTGCGAAACTTTATTGATTTTCCATTTGTCAGGTGTGATATTGTACTATGTTATATTATATTATGTTGTGTTGTGATGTATTATATTATATTAATTATATTAATTCAATTCAATTCTACTCTACTACTCTATTCTACTCTACTCTACTCTTAAATTCAATTATATCAAGCTATCCTTTTGGTTTTTGCATTTCAGTGGTGAATGGTGCAGAGTTACCCAAACAATTGCAGATGCTTCCCATGTTAGGGGATGTCTATCATGTTACAGGTAACGTGAGAACATTACACGATTCACAAAGAAGTGGTCTGCAAAGATCTAGTGGTGGAACTGTTCAGAATAAAAGGGATCTCAGTCAATATTTTCTGTTGTTGCTTGTTTTGTGAGTTTGCCTCTTTTTTCCCCAGGGATACTTAAACTGCCTTATGCTGAAATAGAAGAGCCATTTGAAGCCTGGTTCAACAAGACTGGAGGGAAAAGTCGGATTCAGTATTATGACGGTAATCCATGTTTGATACCATGGGGGTGGGATCACCCAGTGAAAACCTTTTATGGCATTTTCACCATGAATGTAGATAGCGCTTCAAGGAGAAAGAATTGATCTAAAGTAAGGCTGCATGCCCAAACATACAAACTGCATTTCTGCAGGCACTAAATATGTGTAGTCTAACAGACAGAAGCAGTGGTGGATTTCCATTTTTTTTTACTATCCGTTTACTTGTGTGCGCTCGTGCGCACATGCAAAATTTCTGCACATGTGTAGAAGCATCCGGGTGGGTCAGCGGAGCCTCCCGCCGCCGCTACTACTGGTTCACCCGATCCGGGCCAAACTGGGAGCAGAAGCGTTGGGATGACGTGATAGCAATCTTCCAATATTTGAGGGGCTGTCAAGAGAAGAAGAGGTTAACCTATTCTTCAAAGCAGTTGAGGGCAGGAGCAGAAGTGACAGGTGCAAGATCATTAAAGAGAGGTCCAATCTAGAACTAAGGAGAAATATCCTGACAGTGAAATTTATCAATGGAACGGCTTACCTCCAGAAGTTATGGGTGCTCCATCACTGGTGGATTTTAAGAAGGGATTGGATAGCCATTTGTGCAGACTGGTATAGGGTCTCCTGCTTGAGCAGGGGGTTGGACTAGAAGATCTCGAAGGTCTCTTCCAACTTATTTTGTATTCTGTATCTTGGACTGCCCAGATGTGTTGAGTTTCAATTGCACAATTTCACAGCTGTACTAAGTTGAACAGAGCTGGTAAAGACTTGGATTATCTGCTTTGCTTTCTGGGGTGTCTTTTCGATAAATGTTTCTATCATCATCATCATCATCATCATCATCATCATCATCATCATCATCATCATCATCATCACTTTTATTTTATATTCCATCTTATCTCCAAGGAAAGAAGGTAGTTAGAGATACATACCGCATTACTTTTTAAATTTGTACTGGAATTCTGTGATGNGAGTCTATCTCATATATTAGTTTCACCTTTTAAGTTGCATTACTGAAATAAATGAACTTTTGCCCGATATTCTAATTTTTCGAGTTTCACCTGTACAAACTTCACAGTACTGCAGCTATGATGTTTGAAGCTTGAAGATGGAGGTGGGGAATGGGAAAACCGAAAGCTTGCCGAAAGTTTTTTCATTGTCACATAAATTGTCATGGAGTAGTCTGATGACTCATTGCCTCCAGGATTATAATAGATGCCATAAGCAGAAAATACAGATTATCTGGGGGAGGCATTGGTGCTCACAGCCGTAGGTCCATTCGTGAAGATCATCTCAAAGCAGGGATATCACCATATGGCACATTGATGTATCTCAACACATTACCTAGGGAATCAGATTCATTGTAACAGATTCTGGGTGAGATGTGGGAAGGGAGTATTTATAAACGGTTGCAGATGACTTCCCAAGCACGCAGATGCTGGAGTAAAAATAAACTCAAGAGACACAATGCAACAAAAGTAAATGTGCTTAAATCGTCTCTATCTTCTTCTTTCCAAAGCTGTTTTGAGGGACAGAAGAGACCAAAGGATCTGCTCTCCAATCTGGCTGCCCTCCCAATGTTTGATAAGGCTATTATGGAGAAATCTGGGATTTCAAGTTTTAGAAGATAAGAACGTTGGGAAAAGAAAGGTTAGACAAGTAGTCCTTCAGTTACGACTGTAATAGAGCCTGTCCATTGTGGTTGTAAGTCATAATAGATGTATTTTATGATCTTTGTTCGCAGCAGGCATTAAGCGAACACAGTGATTAAGTGAACACCATAGTCGTTCGCTATGGACCGGTTTTGCCAAAACCCAGAAGTAAATGCCAGGTTTTGGCAAAACATGGGATGTGATTGTAGGAAGCAGCCATAGATGCAGATTGGTTGGCAAGAGCATGAAGTGTGGTCATGGGATTGTGGGAATGGGCAATGATTGGAGCTTCAAATCCAGATTGTAAATATCACCCAAGTAGGTTTGTCATAACCAAGTGACCAGTCATAAGTCAAGGACTTCCTATATAGATTGAAGCAAGGCTATTCTAAAGCAGTTGCTATTTAGTTGGATAAGATTCTATCTATCTATTATCTGTCTGCCTGTCCGTCTGTCCATCCATCCATATCTACCTCTAGCTCTCCTTTTCCCTCTCTCTCCCTCTCCATCCATCCATCCATATCTACCTCTAGCTCTCCTTTTC